AAAAAAAGTAATTTAAAGAAGTTTATCATAAGGCAGCAACATAAAATGTAAAAAAAAAAAAAAAATGAAGGGGTATGAATACTTTCGCAAGGCACTGTATTTTTGGCTATTGCTACAAATATACCCCAGCGACTTAAGACTGGTTTTGTGGTCCAGGGTCACATATATTTGATTAATTGTGTTACAGCAACAGTTCACCCAAACATTTAAATTGTCATAATTTACTCGCCCTCATGTCACTCTTCCGCTGCACATAAAAAAAAAAGATATTTAGAGAAATGTCTGTTTGGTTTTTTGTCCACACAATGAAAGTCTATAATGTCCAATGTTGATTAGTCATCAGCATAGTTCAAAATACCTTTCTTTGTGTTCCTTGGAAGAAAGAAAGCTTGGAGTGAGTAAATGATGACACAATTTTAAATTTGGGGTGAACTACCTCTTTAAAGGGAGAAAACAATGTCAGTGTGTTAACCTCAAATGAATGAAATGCAATAATAATAATTGTGAAGCATAATGCATTTTGTGGATTCAGCTGAATGAATTTGACAGCAAACTAAAAACCTCAAAGTTTTGAAGAACTTCAGCTGCAGAGATCATGGATTGATGTGCAACTGTTTTTATGCTGACAAAAAAAAAAGTATTTTTTAACAATAAACATTCTCTTTTTTGATAGTTTTCTTGTTATTTTGGTTAATGGGTTAAAATCTACATTTCTGTGTTAGTTTTGATATGGATACTTCATTAAATGCAAAATTACTAAATTCCATTTACACACATTGTACTCAAGGATTACCATTCATACATACAGAATCACATACAGTATTAAAATAGGTCCTCAATTTACTCAGGCCTTTAGAAAGTTTTCTAAAGAAGATTTAAGGATTTTAATCTAAAAACTAAATCAGTTATTTCAGAGGGTGGATTCTATCAAGATCTCTGTTATTCTACAAGATCCATGAACCAGTATTATTTTTGTTTATTAAAAAAGCTTAAATATAATATAGATTCAAAACTGAAACTGCTGATGATACATGGGGCAACTTTTTGTTAAGCAGTGTTGGCCACTGTTCCATTGAGAATGGGTAACAAATTTCTCTCTGGATACTTGATATCAGTCGTGGACCCTGTTTCTCACCTGGTTGCCCATTGACGGCAACATTGCCCAAAGTTGCCCCGCGTATCATCAGTCTATTAAGGCTATTAAATCTATTATAACTTCACATTAACAAATGGAAATTAAATAAAGCTTAATAAAAGCACTTAAAATTTACACTAAAACTAGAAATATAAAAGCTAATTGAAAATATTAATAAATACTGTATTAGTATGTAAATAATACTAAAATATGAATTAACTGCTTTTGGGGTGCTTTAATACTACGTATACTACATGTCCCATCTAGGATATGTGAAACTTCCATCTAAAACTGCACAAAATGATAAACTAGACATGAATGGTTTCCGAGTTCATTCAAAAAATGAATTCATTTGCCTTTATTATGAAAAAGAGAACATAGTGTTTGAGTCACATATGCAATTGTGAGATTGTTGCTTTCAATGCATTCCGCAGGTAAATGGCCAATATCGAGCGATTGTATATTAATGGAACAATATATTTGCATATAAATGTTGAATAAATAAAACAAAGGGTTTCTACATGTCCCACCAAGAATTGCAGACATACTGATATTGTACAGTATGGTCGTACAATATTTATTTATATTTTTGTTAACTTGTTACACATCGCGCAACAAAACTACAAGAGTCTGCAGCCACAACTTAAACGCAAAAGAAGGTAAAACTACTCGAATCATGTATGTAACTCTACAGAGCTGTCAATTCAGATCTTACACACATATACATATATATATACATATATATATATATACACACACATACACATACATACATACATACATAGTGTATATGTACACATATTTCACTAAACAGATGTAGGACTGTGAACCACCGCTGCCCGGTTGATCTCAACAGACCGACAAAACAATCCGTGGGGACAGAAACCTACACATGCAAATATAAACAGTAAAATAATCAACAAGTAAGAACAAAGTAAGAAAGGAAAAGGACAGAAAAAGAAAATGTCATTGAATTTTGACCACAGACCAGCCCTGCAGTAGGAATGCAGTGAGATAAATACACACATTATTCTTAGAAACCTGCACACAGAGGATTTAAAATCGTAGAGTGAAAATGAAATCCATCCTTTTTTTGGGGTGGGGTTGGTTAAAAGCAGCCCCTGACAGACAGCAGGGGTGAAGGGGACTGACCGTTACCAAATCTCAGACCTCTCATCAGTTTTAGTTTGAAAAAAGCAGATTTTTGAATGTTTTTGGTAGTGCGGCTACATACAGTACAACTTGGGTAACTTAAATTGTTGCCCGTTTCACGCTCTCTTTTATTCTATTCTCCATATTCACTCCTTGCTCCATAAATGATCTATCCCCCTTTCTTTCTCCTATTGTGGGGGCTCTTGCTCCAAGATCCAGGTGCCGAGGTGAGGGGGGTCGAGGGGGCCTCAGCAGCAGCCTCCAGCTGCAGGCTTCACTGGAGTGCTCTGGATCTTCACGTTAGACTTCTCAGCGCCTCCAGCTGTGGCTCCGGGGCCCATTCTCTTCTTGATCTCAGCAGCCATGGTCATGAAGGCCTGCTCCACATTGGTGGCGTTCTTAGCGCTAGTTTCCAAGAAAGGAATGCCAAGGGAATCAGCAAATTCCTAGAGATAAACCAAGCCATTCTTTCCGTTAGAACACTGGAAAAGTGAACAACTGCAAATCTACTGTACACACAGGCTTTGCTCCAAAACCTAGTGAGCTGCCTATATATGCAGAAATTTAAAGCAGTGTTGTCAACCACAACTAAAACTATAAAAAAAAAAATGTTCACTGAAATAAAAACTTGCATGAAAAAAAGAGAGGTTGCTTTGGCAACTAACTGAAATAAAATAAGTTAAAGTAGTAAAACTGAAAAAACTAAATAGAAGTATTTAAAATAAAATGCAAAAAATATAGATTAAAAAAAAAATAGAAATGACATACAGAAATAATACTAAACAGTGTTCAAACTATACCGTGGACTTTGGGGGAGCCTAAGTCCACGGTATATGCACTACTTGCTTTATGCAAGCACTATATGGGATAAATCACTATACAGGATTTACCCTATTATACTTTATCGACACAAATTGATAGGTGAAACAACAAACAGCCACCCACAAATAGTCTATAAATAAAGCATCAGGCTGTCTTTGAGTTCACATGAACAGCGGTTAAAGTTACTTGTCGTCAGACTACAGTAGAATACCATAATTCCTCCGTTCAATTAGGTAGTTCGCACCCTGATACTAAAATAAAATTGCTCCTGACACATTCTATAAGACAGGCTAGCAGCACATGCATCCTTCACAGAGAAGGCAATCCCAGAATGCCTTATGAGCTCTAAAATGCCAGACAAAGTGAAAAAAGTAAATAAAAAATATATAATTCATTCAGTACTGAAATGTATAAGGTAAGATTTAAAATTTTTACTAAAGTGTGCATTCTATATTTTTATGTTTATTACAGCATCATTAGCGCATCAACATGCTATATCTACTGAAATCAAAAGTATCCTATGCACTTTATCATTGCCCATGTATAACATTCCAAATCAGTCTGACAGCAAGGCAGCTCACTAGGTTTTGAAAAGGAGTCATTATAATAGTGGAATAAGTTAAAGGGGTCATATGATGCGATTTCAAGTTTTCCTTTCTCTTTGGAGTGTTACAAGCTGTTCGTGCTTAGATAAGATCCCTAAAGCTGCAAAGACTAAAGTCTCAAACGAAAGAGATATTCTTTATAAAAGTTAAGACTGGTCCACGCCCTCCTAAAATGCCTCGTTTAAACACGCTCCCACATGTCTACGTCACTGTGTGGGAAGATTTGCATAACACCACCCAAATGTTCACTCAATGCAGCGCATTTTACGGAGGACTGTTTCCTGAACCTGGGAAAGTTGCCTACAATGCCGTCTACACACAAAGGCTGTTTCTATAAAGTGGGGCAGTTCCAACTTTGCAAGGACAGTCTGGCGCTTCTGACTCACAGCCTGCAAGTACGTTTTCATATTTAAAGAGTTTGCCGCTGATGATTCAAACGCGAGTTTTGAGCAGTGTAGAGAAGTCTTGTTGTTTGTCATTTCTCCGATCACAAATGCAGACATGGTTTCATGTTTACACGGCGCGATGCAACGACAGTATAAGTCATTATAATCAGCAATTATGTCCCCACTGGATGCAACAAATGCCTCGTTTATAATGGGTTTTAATGTTTTTGTCTCGTCGCTCCGGCCGGACACGGCGTCACAGTATGGTAAGGGCGTATAATACGAAGCAATATTACCTTTGCCGTTGTGTATTCCACAACTTTTTTTGTTGTTAAGTCACACTTGTTGCCAACCAATAACTTGTTAACATTTTCACTGGCGTAGCGGTCAATCTCCTGTAGCCACTGTTTAACATTATTGAAGGACTCCTGAGGGCATTAAAAAAAATGTTAAAACAAATACAGTAGAGCAGAAATTAAAACTCATTATTTTAAGGTATCTTCACAGGTGTTTATAGTGAAATTATGACACTTGCTTAAGGTTTGTATGAGCTCACCTGATCTGTAACATCATAGACTACAATAATGCCATGTGCTCCTCTGTAATAACTGGATGTGATTGTGCGAAACCTCTCCTGCCCTGCTGTATCCCACTGTAAGGAAGAAGGAATAATATGACACCTGAATCAAATGCAAAAATAGGCTCAGAAAAATACTGTTTTTATACTACTTCAATAGTAGGGCTGAGTACTGACACAGATTCCACAAATAAACTCGATTCTCTTAACTAATGCTGTAAGCTCGGCCTATACAGGAAACCCCTAAATAGTACATTAAAGGATCAAATCAACAACACTTTTGTGATAAAATTGACAATTTGAAAGCTGAGACTTGGTTTCTTATCAGAAGTAACACAACCTTTTGTGATTATTTGATGGCAGGAGTGCCATCAAATAGTATTTAGTGAAGTTCTGCTCACACATCGATTTAAGAATTGATATTTGTTTATCAAAATGAAAATTAAGTAAGTACTCACTATTGTTATGTTAACCCAGCCCTATTCAATAGTAGCAGACAAAGGTCCCTCTCTGACATAATTTACATCAAAAGATCAAGTAAATTCTTCATGATGAGCACTGACATAACTCTGCTCTCTCTGATGATGTCTCTAAACATCTCTAAAACCATACCATCGAAACACCAAGTGCTCACTTTTCTTCAATCACATGCTTGTATATTCAATTTATTTAATCTTATACACAAACATTAATTTCATTACAGGGCAGAAAGGAACTTACGATTTGAAGTTTGATGGTCTTTCCGTCTAATTCTATAGTTCTTATTTTAAAGTCCACACCGATAGTGCTAATGTAGCTTTCTGTGTATGTGTCATCCTGAAAGAAGCAAAACAGCAGGTGAATTAGATGTTTCAATGGTCAAATCTCTCCCCACAGTGCTTTGAATTAAAATATAAATTCCATATAAATGTGATACAAGTCTTTTAGTATGCACAGTTATTTTGTACACAAATAAAGATTATGTCTCCATGACGGCAAATGCAGGAAAACATATAGCCTACTTACTGCAAATCGGAGAAGAAGGCAAGACTTTCCAACACCAGAGTCACCAATCAAGAGCAGCTTGAATAAATAGTCACTGTATGACGAGAAAGAGTAACAAAACATTAGTCAATATTTGTCTACCAATTTTTGACAGTACAGTTGTGTGAAATACACGTCACAGTATAAAAGTTTGGGATTGGCAATACTTTTGAAAGAAGTCTCACCGAGGCTGCATTTATTTGATCAAAAATACAGTAAAAAGTAATGTGAAATAATATTACAATTTAAAAGTTTTTTATTTTATTGTTTTAAAATGTTCCTGCGATGGCACAGCTGAATTTTCAGCAGGTAATACTCTAGTCTTCAGCATTCATATTAGAATGATTTCTGCTGATTTGGTGAAGAAACATTTCTTCTTATTAACAATGCTAAAAACAGTTGCACAGCTTAATATTTAGATATATCATGTAGAAACCAAGATGAATTAATATTAATTTATTAATTAATTTTTTTCAGGATTCTTGGACAAACAGAAATCTTTACTGTCACTTTTAATCAATTTGATGCATCCTTGCCGAATAAAAGTATTAATTTCTCTAAAAAAAAAAAAACTTTTGAATGAGTGTACCCGTTATATTGATGCAGACAGTTGGCCCTACATCTCAAAACACCCAAGCCTTGAACCCAACTGTTGCTTTCTTTCACTGTATATTATACATTGTTTATATTTTTTTAGATGTACATTAGGAATGAGGTCATTAAAACCCCCCTGCAACATGTGAAATAGATCAGACCCTTGCTTTCCAGCACTGTAAGACCATTTTCTGATGTAACTCAGTTAAACAGTGTAAATCAGTCACTGGTCCACTTTTGCATGCAGAAAATAAAATATGTTTGTTTAACAGAAACAATGTGCTTGAGGACCTCTGAGGTCGGGAAACTCGTGTAAGCTGATTAAGCATTCCACAGAGAGGGAATTTTGCCCATTGTAATAAATCCTCTGTCCCTATTCAACATGCATTAGTAAGAAAAGACCATAGAAAGGAAATCCAGTGGATCGGCCTGGTCAAGACCAGCTCATCGACTTCATCTCCATCCTGCCCACTAAACTGAATTCAAGTCATGCTCTCCTTGTTAGGTCTCCTGTGTAGAGACCTGCTACACAAAAAACTGCATGTAAAGACCCTCGGTTTATACACTGGTTTCTGATTTCTATCAAACAGAATAAGTAGGTGTAGTATAAGTGTCTTCAACTAAGTTTAAACTTGCAGATCTTAAGTTCTGCATTATATCCTATATGGATGTTAAAAACTTGTGTCATGAATTCTGACTTGCAGTCTTTAAAAAAAAAAAATCACTATTCATGTTCTTTCAGGAAGCCACAAATGTATACGCATTTGTATCGAATCTTTTATACAAATCATGCGAAGAACCGACAGAGAAGTGTTAACCTCTAAACAACTATCATTGTAATAGCTCCTAACTATGAAAAAACATACTTTACCCTTATTCTGACCATGTAAAACACAAGCAACAGCTGATACGAAGTTCATTAAGTAACAGAGTTGCTTAACACTCAGTCTAGTGATAGTTGTAATGAAGCGTGTAGCTTGTCATTTGGCATGTGACCTACACATGACTACCGCACAATAGAGGAAGGGATGGGCACTTCAGTTCCTTGAGACATACTTGACATCTGCACATTCAGTTATTTAGACAGGAGTGTAGAAACCTCACAATTCAGTGCCAATGGACACAGGAAACATGGCAACAAATACCTTTTAAGATTATGTAAATAAATACTGATAAGGAAATCAAGATAGCACAAATCCGACTGGTGCTGTGGAAATGTGGCTATTATGCATGTAATCTTGCTAAACCATCGTTTATTTCTAAGAAGCAGACCGAAAAACCCTGACTTTAACTTATACATTTAAGTTTAGTGTCCAAGTGTACAGTAATTATACACCTGTGATTAAAAATTTAGTGTTAAACAAGGCACGTGACTATATTTCTGTGTGCGGCAAACCCAGGTGATAAAACACATGAATAAAAGATCACAAATTACTTTATACACTTTAAACGGTGTTTTAGCACATAAATGAACGCAACTAACTTATTATTCACTAGTAATTTGCTAGACCATCTTCCTGATACTGACATCCATTTTTGAACTAGCTACTTAAACCGCAACCCTCTTTCTGAACAAATTAAGGGGTCAGCAACAGGTTACCAAACCACTTAAGTTAATCAGTTATTTATCTACTTCACCAGCTCGTCAAGCTGTTTAAAAAGTAAGTTAAGTGAAAAGCGATCTGAAGACGTTAGCTTACATCAGCTAGCTTTCATATTAATTTCTGATGAAGCCTGGCAGATAACACGCGTTTTAATAGAATGAGATGAAATTATTACAATATGCTAAGTGTTAAAGGTGTGGTATGACTAACTAATGAGCTCTACTTATCATACATGTAACGCGGATGGATATTAAAACCGGCTGAGCTCCGCTATACAACAACAGCCGCTTAATCACAAAAACACTTCTTTAAAGAAAGCTAGATGTTAAAAATTCTGGTCTTTAAAATCAAGTTGCTTTCCGGCTTTGACTAAGTGAAATAGATAAAATACAGTGATATTAGTTGTTGGTAAGATTAAACCCACAGCTAGTCATCATCGCCTCTGCCTGTCAAAAGTAGCTAATTTACAGGTAAATTATGAGCTCAGTAACGACAAACAAGCAGTGTAATAACTCAACCACTTACTATTCGGGATTCATCGTGGACTGGACACTGTGAAAACCGTTTGTCTTCTAACAAAACAACTCCGCGGCGTGAAGGTAGACTAGAAACAACAACCTTTCCCCCGATGAAAAAGTAACTAGCTGGCTAGCTACTGCCGCAAAAGCTAGTCGGTTGAAACCCAAAATGGCTGACTCTTTAACCAGGAAATAGGAACTCCTTAAACAGATTGCGTAGGCAATGTCGTCATCATGACCTGTGCGGATGTTGTAGTTTAATTCAGAGATCATCTGACCTGCCCGAACGGAAAATGTCTGCAGAAAGAACTACAATACCCACATCTGTTTATTAAACGTTCACGATGAGTTCATAGTGAATTGAATCGTTCACGCCTGAGGACTGCCGCAATCCTGCCCCCTATCATGAGGGGTAAAATATTACGTCATTTGTGAAACGTGGCATTGGCTAATGTGAGTGCGAGTCACTGATCAATACGTGTCAAAAAGAAGACCGTGACCCACCAGATACATTTTTATTGATTATGAGAATAATAAACAATGTGGTTTTCATACAAAGTATTCAAAGGTTAATACAAATGTTAAAAGTAATGAGGTTTTATGACCAACCACATACTTAATGAGTAGAAATTAAACATTTATGGATTTCTGTTGGTTAATGACTAGCTCCTCCACCGAACTCAACCCTTGGCTCCAGAATGTGTATGGAAATTCCACTGAAGATGCAGCCCCGACCTCTCCCTGGGAAAAGACCATAGTTTAATCAGGCTGATAGAAACCTTAATCAGCTGCAATTAAGTGTGTGAGCTGCTAAAATGACATTTTTTTAAAATCAAAAAACAATAAACAACCTTTACAAATGTGTAAGTTCAAACAGCATACAAGCAATATTTATTATACTGAGGTCAGGAAATACAGTGTTTACCTTCATATTCAAAGAAATAAGGCCAATTTCAAAGCATTTATCGACACCTATTCTCCTCTGTATGTTGGCAAGCACAGCGTGACAGGCTTCATTAGGAGATGAGCCCTTGATAGCAGACAAAAGATGAGAGAAATGTGAGCCAGATCTAATTTACTACAACACAAACATTTTTCCAATGGTTTAATGAGATTTTTATTGACCACCTTCACTTTACACCACCTCTACTGTCAAAAACACAAATGTCACGATACCCATATCCTCAGAATTTAACAAGAAATACTACGGTGTAGAAAATGTGTTTGATTAATGCAGATTACACCTTCACATTTTGATACATTTGGACATTATCCTATATATTATTACTGAAATAAATAATACACAACTGAATATTTATCCAAGGTGATAATTGATACCAAATAATGGTTTAATGAGATTTTTATTGACCACCTTCACTTTACACCACCTCTACTGTCAAAAACACAAACGTCACGATACCCATATCCTCAGAATTTAACATGAAATACTACGGTGTAGAAAATGTGTTTGATTAATGCAGATTACACCTTCACATTTTGATACATTTGGACATTATCCTATATATTATTACTGAAATAAATAATACACAACTGAATATTTATCCAAGGTGATAATTGATACCAAATCAGTATTACATACTTGTCTCATCAGCTGCACAACATGAAAGCTTGGGCAATAGCACATGATTTTGTCTCCATCACCTGTAGCTGTGGAGAGAAGGAATGTATACAGTAGGTATATTCTCCAAGTGTAAAGTGTGAAGTCTCCAAAGGATCTGTATACTGCATGTTTAATAGTACAGTGTGATATTTACTGAGAAATAATGCATTTGTACAAGAACAAGCTCAGATTCAATGTATAAAAAAATATTTCAATTACCTGCTGCGGCACCCACCTGAAAATACAGAGAACAAGGTTGTAAAGAAACTTGTCATACTTGTACAAATTAATAATTTGATAGTACAGAAATAGGCTATGAGCTGAATTATAAAAGCCCTGCAAAGCTTATTAAATGACCTATAAAGCTGCACAACTTACTGTATGGTCAGCGTATAGACCACAGCCTGGAAGTGGAGAATCTCCCACCCGCCCTGGTGATTTGAAGGGAGCTCCTGATGTGGAAACTCCTGCACAATATGTGTACATTTAGGTACATACAAATGTTTGTTGTAAAATAACAGAATTTATACGTAAATACTTGGCAAACATCAATTCTGTATTATTAGACTCATATCGATATTGAATCATGGTCGAATAGTTAAATATGAACATGTACTACATCAGAACAATATTTTTAAAAAATAAAGCTTATTTCAGAGAATAGGAAATGTAAACATTTTCAACCTTACCTACTGTTATGCTACCACTTAGATCAAGAGCTATAAGACCTGAGAAAGTAAACAAGATTAAACCATCACAAAATGCATAATCAGAAAATTGTGTGTTGAATGTCACTGTTATATTTTATTTAGGGTTGCAAAGGGGTGGAAAATGTCCAGTAAGTTTCCGGAAACTTTCCAAAAATCCCTGGAATATTCCAAATAATCCTGGAAAGTTTCCAAAATTTCTGGAATGTTTCCGAAATTTACTGGAAATTTTCCACCTTTTTGCAACCCTAATTTTATTACATTAGGCCATACTTGGTTGAAAAATTATTTTGTCTGCCAAATTCACAACCACCACAACCTAGTTGAGTCATCTTAACTTAAAAAATGGGTTTGGCCCAGATACGATTTACTCATCGAGAAAGCTTTCACATTATATTAATCTCTTACCTATTGTATCATGTCCACCTCTAACAGGTTTATTTTTTTCAAGGTATTCCTTTTGGAATATATATAAAAAAACACAGAAAATGTCATTAAAATCAATTAGCAAATACAGTATGTGTTCTTTCTAGGGATTGAAATAACAATGTGGAAGAAACATCAACTGCAAGTATAATACACCGTGTGTGTGTGTGTGTGTGTGTGTGAATGAATACCCGGTAAGCAGTAGCTGAATGGTCAGAAAGCATATTGGCATTGGGTTCAGATGTAAAACCCAATTCCTGAGCAAATGCTTCTGCTCCATCTCCAACAAGCAAGCTGTGAGGACTCTTCTCCATTACTTTGCGAGCTACACGACATGGCTGTGCAATTCTAGCAATGAAAACACAAGCATACAAGATGGTTCAGGGCCAGGTGGCATGGAAATAAACCTCCTTTTTTCCCCCCAAACAGTGCATGACAAACGAAAGCATTGTACCCTGGAGGCATTTTGTTACATGTAAGAAATTCCACTGGATAAAATAATCAAGGTTTTTTTTTTACCCTCGAAGTGCAGCCACTGCCCCAAATCTCCCTGGCACACCTTCCATAATTGCAGCATCACATTCAACCACTCCCTTGACATTTGGATATCCTCCTCTGCCAACAATGTGCCGTCCCGTGTCTACATCATCTTCAACCTCTAAGAAAATATACCTCTTACTATTAATTAGAAAAACATAAATGCATTGTTGTTGTTTATAAAAGAAAGATACCATGATATAGAAAACTATTTACTTACTATTTATGACACACTTAATAAATACATTTCAACACTTCCAGTAAACCTCTTAATTAAATAAAGTCTGCTTACTTTAACAAACATAGTCTTGGGATTAATATGACAAAAGGGAACTGCAAAGGTAGTAAGAATAGTGAGTATTTTATTTCATGAGCCACTTGAAAACCAGTTGTTTAATGTCCATCTGCCTCATTTATTAACAGCACCTGTATTTTTTTTTTGACCACCTTTAAATAATAACATTTCACGTAGTTGATTGATGAAGACTGAAGAGTACAAACAGATGTCTATTTATATGTACCTGCCATTGCTGTTTCTACAACATCTGTAGCATTTTGTCCAGCTAGCAGCATACATCTCATTCTCTCCACTGCAGGACGAGAGAAAGACCATGTCCCCACAGCTGCCATTTGACATCAGTACATTTAAACACACGTATTTATGTACGGGAAGCGTTCATTTCCCTCTTTTGTAAGAGTTAAAGTGTAAGCCCGAAGATTGTCTTCTTCTTCTTCTTGAAATTTTATTGGCGGTTGACAAACAACAAAATGATGTATTTCCGCCACCAACTGGAATGGAGTGTGGATCAAAAATTGACTTCCTTCCCAATTTTTTTTTTTTCTTTCTTTTTTTCCCTTTTTTTATTTTTATTTTTTATTTTTTAATTCTCTCCCACAAATTAGTTATTTTAAGGAACTGAAAAATAAAACTATAGCATTCATTCCATGAGTTATTTTGTAAAATATATCTCGGTATAAATTGCATTTTTATTTTTTCTAAATTTTGCATTAGCATCCTTCTTTCAGTCTCATATTTCTGACAGTACAATATAACATGTTCCACTGTTTCTTCTTGTCCACAAAATTCACACCTTCCCGTATCATGTTTACCCATTTTAAAAAGTGTACTATTTAGTCTTGTGTGTCCAAATCTCATCCTCGATATTACTATCTCATCTCTCCTGTTTTTCCCTGCACTTCTCATCTCTCCCACTTTCCTTTGAATTCTGTAAAACCACCGACCTTTTTTCTCCTTATCCCATTGTTTTTGCCACCTTTCTTTCAGTCTTTTCTTAATAATACTCTTGATTTCATTCTTACTTAGATTAACAATTAAGTTAATGTCGTTGTTTTTCCCGAAGATTGTGAAAATACAATTTCAAAATAAAAGTCAGGGCGTTCATTGAAAGTGACAAGATTTTTAATGGACATGGGAGATAATTTTTAATATTACTTTGGAAGATGTATAGGAAAGTGGTCTGGCTTATAATTTTTTTTCATACATGATTAAACAATATTACAATGTTTTGAATACGTGTATAAGCAAAAAGTAAAGAGCAAAATTGTAATATCATTCCAAAACATTTTATTAAGTGAAGCAGCAGCTTTTTACTACACTCTAGCACTTTTTTATTTTTACATTTACTTAATTTATTTTTTGCAAAATTTAGTGATTTCCTAATTTTAACCTGTTTTTCAATATTGATTTTTTTATTATTATTATTATTATTATCGTGCTGCTTAAATTAAAATCCATGAATATAAAATAGTGCAAACAAGTGATGTGAACCAATAATGCGCCGGAAGCGCATTATTAAAGTCGGCGGAAGTTGTTGTGAAATCTCATGTTTTGCGCGCTCCTTGCGCTTCTAGAACTATTCCGCACGAGCTCATTGCCAGCCTGAGCGATTCTGCTAATTAACGGTTTGTTTGGACGTTTTTCATATACAATCCATTACACAATTTCGGCAGAGGGAGCTGTTATATATATGTAGCATGAACTGCTTGAGTTTGTAACGAATAGATTAGCTCCACAAACTAGCCACGTTAGCCACACTGGGCTTCATTCTGCGCCGAAGGCATTAACGTTACGTTACTCTGATACGTGATCATTTGTCAGCTCTGGCGTCACTTTGTGTTGAATGTGAATTGTCATGTTAAGCGGCGTTGTTTATGTTATATAACATTGATTTGAATTTCCGTAGAGCCACATTGCAGTGCAAATAGCATCATTTCCCTCTACTCTTCTCTTGGTGTGTACATTATTGACACGTTTTATATGTTCTGTAAATGTCATTTTAAATTTATATTCCCTGTGAACTTAGAGTAATGACACTGCGCAGTCTTCATTTTACAACCGAACCATTAAATTATGTTCCCCCCTTTTAGATATGCACATATTTATTTATGTCTACAACGCACGCAAGTTCATCACAAGACGTAGTGCTACACTGTTGTGTGAAAGTGTGTTTGTTAGATTGGTTTTTGTGTTCTTTTTCACCACAGTTCTTTTAAAGCTATTGGGAGTCTTCAAGCTAGTCCTGAAATCACTACTTGGTTGTTTTGCTTCATAACCTGTCAATATGGAGCAGAACAACAGCCTACCTCCTTTCCCTCAAGGGCTGGCATCTCCGCAGGTGAGTAATGCAGTGCTGAGTAAGCATGAATACACTGGAATACACTACACTGCTTTTAAAGTCTGCACAGATTTTAAAATATTAGGCATCATACACTTGCCAAGAAATGCAGAGAAAAACTAGGGAAACATACATTACACCAGGGGTTTTCAAACGGAAACCCAAATATTAATGTCCTGGTGCAAGGGACCCCCACTGTAGAAAATGAATTGTCATTTGAATAGATTTTTGTATAAAGCACAGAATAATACTATGAAAAGTTAATATTGTTAATATGTATTATTATTTGGAAAATATTTAGCTTTAATTAGGCTACATTATTTGTCTGTTAGTATAGTATTGAACTGTTACATTTATTTTAAATTAATTTAAATTAAATCTGTGCAGAAGACATGTAGTATATTCCAGCCTTTACATATAATACAGATATTTTAATCAAAACTCTTTCAGTGCATCAGCACATAAAGTTAACAGTCCCCTCGCATCTATTCAAAGGGAGCCATGACGCCTGGCCTGCCCATTTTCAGTCCCATGATGCCGTACGGTACGGGTCTTACACCACAGCCAGTGCAGAACACCAACAGCTTGTCCCTCCTGGAGGAGCAGCAGCGACAGCAACAGCAGCAACAACAACAAGCAGCCTCACAACAGCAGAGTGGGATGGTGGGAGGTTCAGGCCAGACACCCCAGCTCTATCACTCGCAGGTCTCCACCACAACGGCACTGCCAGGCAACACGCCACTTTATACCACACCACTCACCCCTATGACCCCCATCACTCCTGCCACACCGGCCTCAGAGAGCTCTGGTATCGTCCCCCAGTTACAGTGAGTTCTTTAGCTGTCATCATCAAACAATCCTGTCAAAAACCTTGTTGGTTGACTTTCAGATAATAAAAAGTGTTTTTGAGCTGTTAAACATGTCTTGAGATGATCATATCATGAGTACACTTTATGCTTTAGTCTGCAGTCTACAATTTCTGTAAAATAAAGTATATGAAATTTTATTTTTAAGGAATATTGTGTCTACTGTAAACTTGGGGTGCAAACTTGACTTGAAGACGATAGCACTTCGAGCCAGAAATGCTGAATATAATCCAAAGGTAAGACTAGTTTTAATTGGTTAAAATAAGCTTAGACGGTTTGATTTTATTTCCTTTTTTGTATTTTTTGAACTTTTGCAAAGATTACAGTTCAAGTGGATCACAAATAGATATTTTCTGAACAATAACTTTTTATGCAATGTCTTTTTTGGCAAAAACCTCCATTTTGATTGAACACAAATATCCATCAATAACACTTTCAGCGTTTTGCTGCCGTCATCATGAGAATACGAGAACCCAGAACAACAGCGCTCATCTTCAGCTCAGGGAAGATGGTGTGCACAGGAGCGAAAAGGTACGAATGCCATCTGCGGACCTGCTGTCATTTTCTTCCTCTCACACAAACTTGTAGAACAAACAGCAGTGTGTGAGTTTGCCTTTTTTGTGTGCACTCACTTCTGCAGTGAGGAACAGTCCCGATTGGCAGCCAGAAAATATGCCAGAGTGGTGCAGAAGTTGGGTTTTCCTGCCAAATTCTTAGACTTCAAAATTCAGAACATGGTCGGCAGCTGCGACGTCAAGTTTCCCATCCGATTAGAGGGCCTGGTGCTTACACACCAGCAGTTTAGCAGGTTTGTCTTGCTTTATTTATTATTAATATTGTTTATATAGCACATCCCAAACTAAATTGAGTACTTTTGTGTGCCGCCTTTGTTTCTACACTGTTACTGTTTGTACCTCTTGGGTTATGTTAACTGAGTGTGTATTTTACTATTATACTAATGTATTTGCAATCCCCTGATCTTTTATTCAAGTGTGAACAGCATTCTGACTGTGAGATGAAAAAACTACAACACTAATATGCTGCTGATGCTTTTTCCCCAGCTATGAACCAGAGTTATTTCCGGGATTAATCTACAGAATGATCAAACCCAGAATCGTACTTTTAATATTCGTTTCAGGAAAAGTTGTACTTACAGGTGAGATTATTGTTGTATTTAAAATGGTAAAACAGTACCATGCAGTTCTAGTATGATGTTGTGTGTCCTACTGAAGTTGTATAATGAAAATTCTTTTATTTCCAGGTGCAAAGGTTAGAGGAGAAATTTACGAAGCATTTGAGAATATATACCCTATCCTGAAAGGATTCAGGAAGACTACGTAATCTTGTTCTGTTATCGCTGGTGAATTACTTCCTGAGCCCACCGGTATGTCTGGGGTGACCTACTCAGTTTTATTTACTTTTGTAAGCCTGTAAATACCTGCTCGGGAAAAATGATCAATGTTGAAAACGGCTGTACTGCTTAATATTTCTGTGGAAACCATGATACGTTAATGTAGATTTGATTCTTAGATGAGGAAAAAGTTTAAAAGAACAGCATTTGCTTGAATCTTCTGCAACAGTGTAAAAGTCTTTACTGTCACTTTTGATCAATTTAATGCATCCTTGATAAGTCAAAAAATAAATATTACTTCATATATGTCTGAATTGCCTAAATGTTTGGTAATACTTCTTGTGAAGACCTCTTAATTTTATTTAGGGAAAGAAATGGTGTCAGTGCCTTAAAATAACCAATGCCTTTATCATTTACATTTCTTCAATATTATAAATGTGCTTTTTCATGCAGCATAATAGTCTGAATTATAGTTCATTTGACTAGACCAATTCTACACTGCTTGATCTCCTGAAAAGTCTTGTTTCCAGATGAACTCATCAGAATATTTGGTGCCTTGGTCACAGCTGTCAGCACAGGTGTAGATGGCCACTGTCCCCCAGTCTATGCTGGCATCTGTCGTATCCAATTTGAGGTGATTAAGTAACTGAGGCATGATCTGAAATAAACAGTGACACCTTAAACAGTGCAATGCATTCATCTAATGCCATTTATGACTGACTGGGGTCAGTAAGCTTTTTAAAAATGTTTTGTCATACCAAGGATGCATTTACTTAAAGCTGCAGTCCGTAACTTTTGGCGCTCTAGCGGTTAATAAACAGAAGTGCGTGCGTCTTGCGGAAGAACATTGTAGCCGGAGCTACTTCTCTCTGTTTATGTCTATGGCGAATCACGCAGGTACTGGGCTACTCTGCAGCGGTACCTACCCGAACCAGTCTAAATAGTCCGAATATAAACACTTATTATAGGTGTACCGTAGTGATTCAGGACAAGCCAAAAACACGGTTTGGAAAATTGATTAATGGTGTACTCGCTTAATATATAAATTTTGTAACTTTTGAACACAAAAAAGTTACGGACTGCAGCTTTAACCAAAAAAATAAAATAAAAAATACAGTAAAAACTAATACTGTGAAATATTACAATTTAAAAATAGTTTTCTGTTTTAATATATTGTTATTAATTAATATTATTATATATTTTAAAATATATTTTATTCGTGATGGCAGAGCTAAATTTTCATCAGTCATTACTCCAGTTTTCAGTGTCACGTGATCCTTCAGAAATCATTCTAATATTTTGATTTGCTGCTTAAGAAACATTTCTTATTATTATAAATGTTGAAAAAAGTTGTGTAGCCTAATGTGGGTGTGTGTTTTTTCCAGAAATCTTTTGTAACATTGTCTTTTGATCAATTCAATGCATCCTTCTTCTTTCAAAACAAATCTTACTGACCCTAAATTGAACAGTAGTGTATGCATGACTATGTGCTCTTTATATTTAACATATACTTTACGTTACCTGAAATTCAAACAGACGTTTTGCACCACATGGACATTCTGGAACATCCTCCTCACGTGGCACATGTTCAGCTGACACCCAAAGAGGAGATCCTACTTTGCAATACCGCAAAACCTTAAAAATACATATAAAAATCACACAGATGTTGAACCACACAACACACAAAAGCCATGGCCAGCATTTGCTCTTCAGGCTGTGACTTTGTAACTGACCTGTTGTGGTTCATTAGCAATGCGCTTCTTGAACTTCTGAAACACTTTAGAGTCTTGTGTTTCATGAAGGGCCATACTTTCTAGTTCACTGTCCTCCAAGCCTGAGAGCGTAAATAAACACTGTAAATGATTATTCCTTGACAAGATGTGGAAATATCAGGCTGCCAAATCTGATCTGAAAGGTGTACCATTATTTAAGCATGCCATGCTCTCCTGATCCAGACTGTGGGCTTCATGGAGTTCCTCATCTTTTGCTAGAAGCTTTTCCGGGTCTGTAACCAGCTCCCACTCTGGAAACAGAAATGAACTGAGCTCCTCAGGGCTTTCAGAAGCTGTGGATTAAGATATGAAGACAACATGCAAATAGATTAAAGGTAACATAAGATCTTGACTGAAATAATGCATAACATGTCCTGCATTTACTTACCTTCATTTGAACATTCTTTCTTGTGTCTATGTTTCCAGTCTATGGTCTGATGCTCTTTACAGCAGTATGTGACAGAGTGACATCGAGAGCAGGCTTTCTGTCCCAGACAACCACACAGCCTGCACAGTTTGAGCCCAGAGCCCAGAACCTGATGATTATTCACTGGCTGCTTTGGCTTCTCATCAGGAGGAGGATCAAAGGGGTAAAAGTAGTTTTTCCTTGGCAGCTGGCATCTAAACACTGGGAATGGGGGATAGTACAGAATACTGTGAGTTTATGCCTATGTTATAGACAGAGGTTTAAAGTACTTGAGTAAATGTAACTAATTACTGTACGTAAGTATCTTTTCGGATACTTTGTAGTTTTACTGCATATCAACTTTTACTCTCTAATTCACAACATTTTTGAATGAGTATCTGTACTCTTTACAACACATTACATTTTACATGGCACCTAGCTTTTCTGCAGCAATTTATTTATGCTACAAAAGATGTGATATCGCCAACTACAGGGCACTGAAATTAATATATCTTGTGCATTTTGCCCTTACCCAAACTTGTCAACAAGGTTACTTTACGTGAATGTGAGTTCCTTAGCCAGTAGTTGTGAATGAAAGGTGTTTTATATATGAAATCAGCTCTTTCTTGTTTTTGTTGCGTTTTCTGTGCCTTGGACGTTTGTCACTTCCTGTCTCCTGTGGTGTTTGTAGTCAGTTTGTATTTTATCTTATTCAGCTTGTTAGCCTCCTGTGTGTGTGTGTGTGTGTGTATATATATATATATATATATATACAGCCCTGTTGGACCATGTCCACATGGCGAAATACCAACTCCAACTTTAAGGTATGTGTTTACTAGAAGTGTATGTAGTAAGCGCTTAGTTCTTCTGAAGCTAATGAAGTAATTCAGGTCACATGACCTGTCAGTGGCGGCTCCTGCCAGCCAGTTGATGATTGAACCCCCTCTCTTATTGTTTGTTCTAGCTTTTCCATTAAATATCTGCACATAGATCCTTGCCTCTGCCTGTTTTTCCGCAGCTTCTCCACAACATTACAGTTTTTCACTGGCATGTCTCTTTGACTAGTGTTTCAGGTACTCTTTACACCTCTGGTTATAGAGAAGCTTATATTATGAGCCACGATTAAAACGTCTGACTTTATTCTGTGGAAAATAAAAGTAGATCTTCTGAAGAACGTTGGTAACCAAACCAGTTTGGGCTATTATTCACTTCCATAGTACTTGCCACATTCTTCAAAATATCTATTTTCATGTTCCACAGAAAAAAGTCAAAGGGGTTTGGAAAGTCATGAGCGTGTTAGTTAAAAAAAAATAATTCTGAGGTGAACTATCACTTTAATAAAACTTGAAATAAAATAGGTAAATATATAATTAAAATATTAATACATAAAAACATTAGTAGGCTCTGTTCAAAATATGACAGATTATAAATTACCTTTAAAACACTTGTTATCATTTCGCGTATAGCAAGCTGGTGTCTTGCAGCAGAACACAAACAGTGTTCTGTGAAAACATCGATCATGTTCCGTAATTGGTGAGTAGACCTGCAGAAGAAACACTGTTGGAAGTTTACATTTCTCACACTGTAACTCAGACACAACTGGCAAATCCACTTGATTCAACCACGCAGGTCTCCCTCCGACTTTACTTGGAAACTGGTTACTAAGAAGCTGCCATGATTCTGCCTCCTCTAAGAAGCCCAACACGAACTCACGGTTTGTTTTGGATTCTTTCACTGTATTTGCAGCCATCTGTCAAACTCTCATGTGCATATAAAGCTATAGGTTTCGGAATTATGTGCGTGTGTCTGAAACTGAGGCTCGGGTGAAACAAGATCTGCGACTAACGTTCCACACGAAAATAAGAAGCCAGAGCAATAAAACACACATAATGTAGATAAAACTCCCTAATATTATATAAATTAATATTATTACTAGTTTATATTAATATTTACTATTAGAGTAAAAAGCATTTTTTAAAGTATATAGAAATATTTTGTTCTTGGGGGAATTTAAACCTGTTTTAGCATTTGTCCAATAGATGGCGTAAAAATTCCACGCTCCCTTTTGGTCTTATTACTAGGAGAACGAAAAGGTCACGATATTTTATATTGACAGAAAGTTGCAAATACGTAGCTTAACTACTTAAAGAATTTAAAGAGATTTATGATGCTGCCAATATTCACATTTCACATTGTTCTTTTAAAAAAATATATATATATGTAGGCCTAATAAACACTATAATGTAAATATTGTTCAAAGGACACAAATGTATATGCACTTTGACCATTTTGAATTTCAAGGACATCATCACTGATAACAAATAAAAATGCTGAGGCGTGTATTCGCGCCAGTTCAGTTGAGTTTATCAGTAATGACAACAGGTCTGCTGAACTTCAGTTCACGGATGAATGCAGTTCACAGTGGATGATGTCATGGGCTCTGTCTCAAATCCCAGTCAGCAGCCTACCTTGTGTCTGGCCAAAAAAAGCTGCGCGCGCCTCAAAACGCTATCGAGTGGTCGGCGGTCTAGGCATTGAGACACAGCCACGGTGTTTGGGAGTAAAGTGCTCACTCAGATGGGTTTTAGAGAAGGGCGGAGAGCTCGCCTCATGAGGGCATAACGGCAGTGTACTTGTGGGCTTTGTATTTATTTTTGCTTCAGAGTTGCTTTGTTTTATATCCAGATAAAGCAAACACCTCTTGATTTGAAATGTAGCTTTTAGCCCTTGTAAAGTAAATGGACGCCGCGGTGAAATTGGAGACTGGTGCTCCGCTCTCTCATTCACGATGAATCTCTGAAACCGCTGACTGTCCGTGTCTTCGGCGATGCCTCCGCAGGGAGGTGGAGAATTCAAGCCCGCTCCAGGTACGGTAGTGCCACCGGTTCCCCCGAGGAGATTCCGGAGTAGAGATTTGTCATCCGCGGTGAAGATCCGCTTCGGGGCGGCAGCGGAGCGCAGGGTGAAGTGCGTGCTGGTTGGTGATGGTGCAGTGGGTAAAACTAGTCTCATTGTGAGCTATACCACCAATGGATATCCCACCGAGTATGTTCCAACAGCGTTTGACAACTTTGCAGGTAAAAATCACCCCAGTTTAATTCAACTAAACTGTAATAAATTAAATAACTAATAAATAACATATATATATATAAAAAAAACTTAAACGCGTTTATAATTAAACCGTAAAACTAAATTGTAATAAAATAAAGAAATGCAAAAAACATAAAACTACCTGTTTTCTATGTTAGAAAATCCAGTTTAAGCTGGTGCTGATGCGTTTTGGATCATGGTAACGTTAGCTAATTGTTCTAAACTGGTCATTAGCTAAACTCATCGAAGTTGGGAGAATCCAGCTCTAGGGGCTCACAAATGGGAAGCAGTCTAATTGTGATGAATTGGGCTTGATCCGAGGGAAAGGGAGACCTACTTTCAGCCGGGGTACAGCTGGGCTAGTCACTGGAAATGTGAGATCACTGTGTTTTCGATTAGTTTAGCCATCAGTTTGACCACACTGGTCAAACTGGTCATTTAAACTGGGGAAGTCGTGGCCTAATGGTTAGAGAGTCGGACTCGTAACCCAATGCGGGTTCGAGTCTCGTACCGGCAGGGATTGTAGGTGGGGGGAGTGAATGTACAGCACTCTCTCCCACCTTCAATACCACGACTGAGGTGCCCTTGAGCAAGGCACCGAACCCCCGACTGCTCCCCGGGCGCCGCAGCATAAATGGCTGCCCACTGCTCCGGGTGTGTGTTCACTGCTGTGTGTGTGCACTTTGGATGGGATAAATGCAGAGCACTAATTCCGAGTATGGGTCACCATACTTGGCCACATGTCACGTCACATTAGCTGGTCCAAACTGCTGGTAGACCATCTTTAGACCATATAAACCAGCTACCAGCTGATCATACCAGTACTGCAATACTGATTAGTTTTAGTAGTAAATATATTTAATATATAAACGTAACATAGTTTTCTTAAATATATACATGCATGTGTGTGTGTTTATATATACATAATAAATATGCACAGTACACACATATATTATGCAATCAAAAACTTTTATTTTGGATGCGATTAATCGCGATTAATCATTTGACAGCACTAATATATATATATATACTGTATAATAGTATAATAGATATCTTTATATATTTAAATTATTTTATGATAAAGAATGATGCAGTCATTGCAGTTTGCCACCTAATTTAATTCATCACATGACCACATGATTTTTTACTGTCTGTTGTTTTTGTGATGAGTTTTTGTAAGGCCAGCAAGTTCACCAACCCATTTCAGTCTCATTTGTCACAGTCCATGTGTCTTAATAATGTGCACTGGAAAGGGATAAAATGTCAAATTGACTCTCTTCTCCTCTGCAGCGGTTGTAGCTGTGGATGGCAAGCCTGTGAAACTTCAGCTTTGTGACACAGCCGGTCAGGTCAGTCCAATAAGCCCACTCAGCACCACCAGACCCAAACAAACCACCTCACACAAACACATTCAAGGCATAGGGTGTAAGTTCATCATGTCACTGTATACGGATGACATATTATTTGCACAAACACATGCTGGTCGAAGCCTCGTCTCTTAACTGTAAACAGACCCGTGAGTCATGTCCTAATTAGTCGTATGGTTGCCTGTCTGTAAGATAAGAGAAAGTGATTCAGTGTTGTTTTGCTTACTCATGATAAGGGTTTCTGGTAAAGTTCAGCTGAAGTTTGCAGTTCAGGCATCATAAGGAAGTATATGCTTCATCCTATGGGAGCACGCTATTATAGGTCAGTCAGTGTTTCTTCCTTTGTGGGAGGGGAGAATCCAGCTCTAGGGGCTCACAAATGGGAAGCAGTCTAATTGTGATGAATTGGGATTGATCTGAGGGAAAGGGAGACCTACTTTCAGCCGGGGTACAGCTGGGGCTAGTCACTGGAAATGTGAGATCACTGTGTTTTCGATGAGTTTAGTAAGCTAAGAGGAGACAGTGAAGGGAAGAAAGCCAAGAGAGATTTGGATCAGTCCTGTTTAGGCCAGTGGAGATGGAGGAAGGGAGAGAAGGAGAGAGAAACAGATAGAGAGTAAGAGAGTACATTGATTGGAGAGTTATAGAAATGTTTTAGTTTATATATACATTTTCGCATGCTCAATTCCCTTATTTTTACATTTATTTGTCATCATCTAGCACTGACTTAAAGTTAATCTTTAAAAATAATAGTAATTTAATATCACAACTATTAAACATAATTCAAATTGAATATCTGTTTTTGTATATTATAATGTTGTGATGCCTAAATTCATTTGTAACAACACACTTGCATATAAATTATAAAATGGGATTGTTTGTCATGGGTTAGAATGTGTCCAGCTGACTAATGTGAGAAGAAAGCAGTTTTGGCGTATCAACAGAAAACAAGCTGGAGACTCATAAGGAAGAGTAAAACAGATGGAATGCACTAGTAATAAACAGCAGATCTCACATTTGTGTTCTAGACTTTATCTCTCGTGCCGCTGACATCACATCGCGTTCTCATATTTCAGAAACACAGAATCATAAGCATGACCTGGAAGTTGCTAGTTTAGAAGATTAAAGTATCGTTACTGTAAGATAAGGCTACTTATTAGTGTTTGAAGCTTTTTTTTAAATATTTTATTTACACTACTGTTCAAAAGTTTGGGTCAGTAAGATTTTTTATATTGGTACTTTTATTCAATAAGGACACATTAAACTGATCAAATAAATGCTGTTCTTTTGAACTTTCTATTCATCAAAAAGCCTGAAAAAAATGTATCAGGGTTTCCACAAAAACGTTAAGCAGCAAAACTGTTTTCAACATTAATAATAACAAGAAATATTTCTTGAGCACCAAATCAGCATATTAGATTGATTTCTAAAAGATCATGTGACACTGAAGACTGGAGTAATGACTGCTGAAAATTCAGCTTTGTCATCACAGGAATAAATGACATATTTTAAAATATATTAAAATAAAAAAAACAGTTGTTTTAAATTATAATAATATTTGACAATAGTTCTGTTTTTACTGTATTTTTGGTCATGAAGGCATCCTTGGTGAGCATAAGAAAAAAAAATCTTACCAACCCCAAACTTTTTAATGAAAATGCATGATTTTGCAAATGTTTGCTTACAATAAACGAGCAGAAAGGAAAAAAAATAGAATAAAAACAACAAAAAGAAAAATATGTATACACACACATACTGCACAACTTCACAAAATTACAAACAGTCATTCTGACATACATAGTAAGTCTGTATCATAACTGTTAAGGAATCTAACAAGTAACAGTATACATACATGCCCTTTTATGAGCGGTTACTTTTAACTACTTTTAAAGGGGTCATATGATGCGATTTCAAGTTTTCCTTTCTCTTTGAAGTGTTACAAGCTGTTCGTGAATAGATAAGATCCCTAAAGTTGCAAAGTCTAAAGTCTCAAATCCAAAGAGATATTCTTTTTTAGCAACATCATATGACCCCTTTAATAATCCAAAACAACAAGTGTTAGTTTCTCCAAGATGTTTACCTCTACTGAATTTTTTTTTACTCTGGGCAGGATGAGTTTGACAAGCTCCGGCCACTGTGCTACACCAATGCTGACGTCTTCTTGCTCTGCTTCAGTGTGGTAAGTCCCTCCTCTTTCCAGAATGTGAGGGAGAAGTGGGTGCCTGAGATCCGCCGGCACTGTCCGAGGGCACCGATACTGTTGGTGGGCACTCAGGCTGACCTGCGGCAAGATGTCAAAGTGCTCATCCAACTGGCCCAGTACAAGGAGCGGCCGGTGGACCCCCAGGAGGCCTGCGTGTGTGCTGAGGAAGTGCATGCCGTCTCGTACATGGAGTGCTCAGCGCTCACCCAGAAGAACCTGAAGGAGGTGTTTGACACGGCTATAGTGGCCAGCATCCAGTACTCGGACAGCCAGCAGCAGAAAAAGCTTAAGAAGCGGACGCCCGATAAAATGAGGAAGCTCTCTGAGTCCTGGTGGAAGAAATACTGCTGTTTGGTGTAGACGTGAGAATATGACTGCATACTGTTGATGTGAATGCGGTTAGACTGGAACTGGCTTTTTTGGATAGAAATGGACACAGATCCATCTGCTTTATGAGACCGTGTTAGTGGATTAACTGGAGCACACGTGGCCGTGAAATTAATCGGACATTTTAGAAAAGATCGGCCAGCTTTTGTGATGAAATGGAAAGATTCATAGAGACTCAAAGTTGTCCGCTAAATTTTAGGATCTGCTCTTCATTTGGAAAGTCCCAAGTTAACCTCAAATACTCATGTGAACAATTCAGGGCGAGAGTCATCTGTCTTTCTTTACTTTATCTCTTGTTGAAGAGGGTTTCAAGTGGACTTAAGATCTAGTTTCAAGATCTAGTTTAGACTGCCAGAACTTTGCTTCTTCATTTAGAAACTGTGAAAAGCAACCTGGTCGGTCTCAGCATGTTGTTGGTGTTTTAACACTTCTTTTGCTTATAGAATGGGATTATTTGCCTTTGTTATTCCCTCGTCTTGGAGGAGAAGTGATCCAGAGGGGGTTCGGTCTGATATAATCAAGTGCTCCTTCATGTATCTGTCAAAGCATTAAGTGTGATGTAGAGTACAAGCAGATGTTTGGACACACTATCAACTTGATGTCACTGACATTTACCTTGTTGTCCTGTGAGGGTGAGTGATTGTCCATTTTAGAGACAGCAGGGCGCTGGCACATCTCTCCAAGGCTGTCTTGTTTACATTTGGAGTTAAGTCCAGATCCAAACATGCTGTGAGGTCAGGGTCTTTGAGTGTAAGTAAGTACACTTAGTAGGCCAGTTGGATTGTATATCTGGTCATTGACCCTGGAGCTTCATCAAAAACAGAGTGTTTTGAGTGAAGCATTTCAGTGCTGTCAGGAGGAATCTGACTGAGTCAGACGTTATTGCATATTTATAGGAATATACACTAATGTTCATAAGTTTGGGGTTGGTAGGATTGTTCTTGTTTGTTTGTTAAAGAAGTCTCTTTTGCTCACCAACATTGCATTTAATAAATACAGTAAAAACATTAAATACAGTAATATTGTAAAAATTGTTACACTTTTAAAATATCTGTTTTCTAATTTAATATATTTTAAAATACTATTTATTCCTGTGATGACAATGCTGAATTTTCAGCAGCCATTACTCCAGTCTTCATTGTCACATCATCCTTCAGAAATCATTCTATTATGCTGATTTTGTGCTCCAGAAACATTTCCTATTATTATTAATGTTGAAAACAGTTGTGCTGCTTAATATATCTGTAGAAAATGTGAAAAGAACAGCATTTGAATTGGAAATCTCTTTTTTTACGTACAATTAATGTCTTTACTGTCCCTTTAATGAATCTTTGCTGAATAAAAGGTATTAATTGCTTTAAAAAATCATACTAACCCCAAACATGTGAACATTAGTATGTGTTGCACATTTTCAAAGAAGGAAAAACTTTTTCAGTCTACAGTTTTCAACCAGAAATTACAATGGTTGACATTGCTTTTCAGTTGATATTAGAACAAGACAATACATTTTTTTTGTGCATGAAACTTCTACATTAAATTTTAGATTCTTCATGCCTTTGCAATTTATGGCACTATTTATAGATGAAATTTGTACATTCCTGCACCACTAGTGGCATCAAATGAAATTGCAATCTTTTTGTTACGAGATGGACATAATGTCAATCAGGGCTGTGAGTTTGGTGGGGGGACTATCTGTATGCTCAAATAATAGCAAATGGGGAGACGTTTTAGATTTTTTCCCAATTATGTAATTTCAAATAATTTACTTACTAATTCAGTTCAGTTAATTCAGTTATTTCAAAAACTAGGGATGTTAGTGGTGCAGACATGACACGATAAACATAAACATTCTCACCAAAAATCAAAAAAAAAAAAAAGCAGTTTTTCCATATTTGCTTGAATGCATTTGGCAGACAGTTTTAACCAAAGCAACTTGCATTGCATTTACGGCATGCATTCCCTGGGAATCAAACCCATGACCTTGACGTTGCTGGTCACTGCTTTACTGTTTAAACTACTATTCTACATTTGTCTCCCCTAAAGGATGATGCCAATCACGTCATGCTTTGATAAGCATTGCAGTCCTATCGTTAAATTAATTCTATATAAAATACATGGAGTGTTGCTCCAGGGCAAACTGCACATTTGATCAGGCTTCCACATCGGATGAACTGGAAAAGTCACCTGCTGCTATGCGAAATGTGAATGAGTATAAGCTGAATGACACAGTAAGGAAAAGTTAATGTTTCACTGCATAAGCTGGGGTTTGGTGTGCAAGTATCACTAACGTCACTAGTGGCAAACATTTTTCTTTCATGAGCACAGAATGAACCAAGAATTAAATCAAGATGAGTTTTATATTTGCCACTTGTAATGTTAGACTGTGCCAGAATGTGGCAAGGCATTGAGAAAGAAGTTAGTGGCTCTGAGCAAGTGATTACAGTGCTGTAAACTGCAAGTGTTGAAGGTGGCATAGTGAGAGATGAAACTCAAACCAAACAATTCTATTGATTTTAAAGAGATAGTTCACCCATGAATTAAAAATTCTGTAATGATTTACTCACCTTCATGTTGTTTCAAACCCGTGTGACTTACTTTCTTTTGTGGAGCAGAAAAGAAGATATTTTGAAGAATGTCTCAGTTGTTTTGGACTTTCAGTCTATGAAGAAAAGCGGTTGAAACATTCTTCGAAATGTCTTCTTTTGTGTTCCACAGATAAAAGTAAGTCACACACATATGGAAAGACATCAAGGTGAGTAAATGATGACAGAATTTTTGCCTTTTTTCGGTGAAGCACACTCAAGAAAAGATGTTTAAAAGGGGCATATTGTAACAGTACATTGTATTTAATGTTTTATCAAGAAGTATTTTTGTGATGTTTCATATATTGTGAATCTCAGAATTGCATATGTTGCAAAAACAGGCCTTAAGTTCAGACTGACCAAAGCATATGAGCGCTACAGTGCTGTGTACTTTCACAGGGCAGGATCAATTACTGAGAGGTTTTTGACAAGTCGCCAAACTATCACTTCAAACACGCAGTGTGTTTATTCACTGCTTTGATTTGCACGTGAGTTGCATTGCAGTGTTGTATATTTTCTGTGAGTGAGCTCACTTCTGCCGCGTCCCACCAGACGGAACTGTTCAGGATCTGGTGGTCGTTCAGACAAAGCTGACATGCAATAACAGAGACCTCCCTGTAGATTGTTATCTTTCTCAGAATAAATATACTTTTTGTCTACTTATTGTCTGTGTGTATCTTCTTATACTGTTTTGTTTATTTTTTTGGGGATATGATATGAAAGGCCATCAGTGAAGGGGATAATTTCATAATCTCAGTGCCTTTTATAGTTAATACTTGGTAAACACTGTCTTGCCTGCAGGAATAATGAGGCTGTCTGTTCATAGCAGGTTATATACAGTTCACTGTCTGGGGTTTGATGTTGTTTTATCATTGCAGTTGAGAAAATTCTGAAATTTTCTAATATTTTGTTTAAACAAATGCTTAAATGTTAGCTTAAATGATATTTCGTAATGTGACTTTATATCTAAAATTATGACGTCATACTTTGTATCTCACAATAGCAATATTATATCTGAAAATGTGACTACATCTCGTAATGTGACTATATCTTTAAACTATGACTATGCATCTCAAAAATCACTATTTCTCACAATGTGATTTCATACATCGCAATAGTAGAAACTTTGTTTCTCGTAACTGTGACTTTATATCTCACAGTTGCAACTTTATACCTCAAAATATTACTTTATATCTCACAGTGTGACTTTATATCTCATTATGTGACTTTATATCTCACAATATGACTATTTTGCAATGCGACTTTATACATTGCAATGGCAATTTTGTTTTTTCTAACTATGACTTTATATCTCATAATGTGACTTAATACATCACAATGCAACGTTTATACATTGCAATTGCAATTTTGTTTCTGTTAACTGACTTTATATCTAACCATGTGACTATCTCAGAAATGTGACTTTATATCTCAAAATGACTTTATATCTCAGAAAAGTGACTTAATATTTCAAAATGACTTTATATCTCAGAAATATGACTTAATATCTCAAAATGACTTTATATCTCATAATGTGACTTTATATCTCAAAATGCTTTTACATCTCATAATGTGACTTAATACATCACAATGTAACTTTTATACATTGCAATTGCAATTTTGTTTCTGTTAACTGACTTTATATCTAACCATGTGACTATATTTTAGAAATGTGACTTTATATCTCAAAATGACTTCATATCTCATAATGTGACTTTATATCTCAAAATGACTTTACATCTCATAATGTGACTATTTCTGAAAATTACATTTTATATCTTAAAATATGATTTTGTCACAATGTGAAATACCTTGCAATGGCAACTTTATTTCTTGTAACTGACATATCTCACAATGTGGTTTTATTCCTCAGAATGTGACTTTATATCTCAAAATGTTTTTTTTTAATCTCGTGATGTAACTTTTATCTTCAAATTTGATTTTATATAAATGATTAAACTTAGTCACTTGTTAAACAGGAAATCATGGAGATCCTACTGTATATTAAAGGCTTTATGTAAATAGACGAGACTTTAGCTGCAGGTGTTGAAATGACTATCAGAAAAGCTATGGTTGCTCTGTGATGTCTTTGTCAGTTTAGTTGCATTATTGCCAAGGGGTTGTTTTATCTGGCTTTTAATCACATTTCCACAAGCACACGAAACAATTAAAGTGGCGTCTGGGATCATAAGCTCCATTGAGCTGCTTTTTTAAACAGCTGACTTGCTCTCTCTGAGCTCTAGACGCCTTAACTGCCAACAATGACATATTTGGGCCACTTTTATCCAGTTGCTTCATATTGCATGTTTCTGTGTGGCAGAGGAACAAAGAAAAACTTCAATTTGCAGCACCCTCAACCAAAAGATCTCATGCTACAAATAGCTTTTAACATTTGGGCCAGAATGAATCAAATACGACAGACTGTACTGATAGTTAAAATAGTTTCCTCTGGAGTTCCAGAGGAGTTCCATACAGCTTCCTACTCGGGGAGCTGGAACCCAGTGTAAACAGTATTTTTATGAAAAGTTAAATACTGTATACTGTAAATGTAAACATTAACTAATAACTAGGTAACATTAGCCAACTTACTTTCTCACAGTGTGGTTTTTATATCTAACAATGTGAATCTTGCAATATGCCTATGTTTGTGTGTGTTTATGAGAGGAATATTATAACAAAGGAATACAAGATGCAGAAGGATTTGCCTCCCAGAGACTCCTGATCAAACAGGAAATGAAGAAGACGGACAGGAAGAGCTGATCTGGCCATCACAGATATCTTTATCAGCGATCACAGTGCTGCTCGGTCATTTATTGCTCTCAACTTATGGTTATAATTAGACTCCTTACATGGGTGAATCTTCCACATGTAAGGACGTTATCAGCAGGGAAAGAAGTAGCAGGGACAGGGACTGAACTATGGACATTCTGTAAAGTAAATCAATCTTCTGTGCTTGTTATGTGAGCTCAAGGCCTTGGGAAAATTCCAGCGCTACTTCCCTCAGTGACATCACATCACAAAGTAGCTCTGTTTAGTTATCAGGGTCCGTGCACACATTCACAACACAATGAAATGAAATCTGCACTGGCCTATATTGTGCCTTGACTGCTGACAATGCAGGTGAGGGTTAATTCAATCTACCAGCTACCCAAAATCTCCTAGTCTGGTGGCCATTCCACTCGGCCTGATGCTTTGTGCGATTATGGGTCAGGGTTGAAAGAGCTGCGTGCCGGTGTTAGGGTTCCCACAAAGCACTAATCGCACTGTGAAAGCAGGGTTTTTGACGGCCGCTGACAGGCCGAGGAATTCCAGAGTAGCACAGTGTCTGAGAAAGCCATTGCCACGTC